CATGTTTCTATTTTCATTTTTACTGCTTGCATCGCCAACCTGTATAGTACCGATGTAATGGTTAGTGGTCTATACGAGCGAATCTTGTCCTTTTCTCCCTTGCCTTTATAGATTAAGTTCATTCTACTTTGTCGCCAACTGTCCGGTATTTGTCCGTCCTTTAAGCTTTTTTCTACTGCTTTTAACAATGCTTCTTTAGTGTTATGTCCTAGTTCGTTAATGAGGCTAACGGGAATCCCATCTAAACCCGCGGCAGTGCGCTTTGGAATTTTTCCTTCGGCCTTTTTCCAGTTGAAATTATCAAGTACTAGCTCTTCCTCTGTTGCTTTCTCCGCCACACTTTTACTCACCGGGGAGATCCCCTGGACGCTCTTTTGAAACGAATCGGCTGTTACCTTTTGGATGTAACCTAGCGCTTCGTACCCTTCCAATTGATTTCCTCCTTCATCTAGAATATGTTGTTGCGTTGTGACAGACTTCCTACCTAGCGCCTTTATGTGGCTCCAAAAAATCCTAGGCGCGGCCTCCTTTTTTTCGTGTATCTCAGTCATCCAGCGTTCACTTTCACCTTTAATTTTTGCCTCTACCAATTTCTGTACAAGGGATTTTTTCTCTAAGTATATTTCCCATATTTTTTTTACTTCGTCCTGCGGCCGCTTCTCCTTTTTCGCCTTTCTATGCTCCCGTGATGCTTCGCGTCGCTTCTCGATCGCCTCCCGGATTTCCTTGTTCCACCAACTTTTTGGCTTCCTTTTTCCTTTCCAGCAAACAGTTTTCTTCTCTTTCCCTATCTCCTTCGTCATTAGATGTAACAGCTCACTATACTCCCAGTCCTTGCCTGGTATTTCGCCTACTTCTTCCTCGACTCTTGCGGCTATGTTTATTATTTGTTTGTCAATTAAATACGAGCTGCCAGACTTTGATTCCATGCTCATATTTTCAGTTTCGTATCCCATTTGTAATGTTATTCGTTTATGATCACTACCCAAGCTGTTAATGCCTTCCTCGTCTATCCTCATTTCTGTCAGTTTGTGGTAAATTCCTTCAGTCATGAGACAATAATCAATACTTGATTGCTTGTTTCCGACTTCCCATGTGATCTGGCCGTCACATTTAGGCCCCGTGTTAACTATCTCCAGACTATGTTGCTCGCAAAGATCTAGTAATAACTTCCCATTGGTGTCTGAATATCCGTCAAGGTCATGTATGTGGGCATTCATGTCCCCTAGAAGGATGATTTCGGCCCCATTACCAAATTCCTTAATATCCGCACTCATGCAATCCACTATCTCCTGATTCTTTTCTCTGCAGTTATTCCCCGTCCACAAGTAGGCTACCCCTAGCCACGTTTCCTTTCCACCTACTGTGCCCAGAACCCAGAGGTGCTCTGTTTCACTCTAACCCATTTGGCTCCGCGGTGAATTAGCATTCCTACACCCCCACCTTTCCTTTCCGATATGGTCCTGTTACACCCTTCCCAAACATAATTTTTAATATGTGGTGGCTCTTCCAAGTCTCTAAGGTGTGTTTCTGTAACCGCATACACGCCTATCTGTTCTTTGTTTAACTGCTCCTCAATCTCTAACCATTTTGCCTTCTTTCTGCCACCCTGCATGTTTATGTAACTAATTGTAGCACGCGCCTTTTTCCTTTTTCTTTTACCTTTTTTTTGGTTTTTCGCAATTCTACCTGTCAAAGCGTCCTCCTGGTTGTTTGCCCTGTTACGAGCTACCCCGGACTCCGAAGGGCCCGTGAGCCCCCCAAAAAAGCTACTGCGCGTCCTGCCAGTCGCCAGCCCACCTCGTGTCCAAGCCTCTTATCGAAATGAATCTTGTCTCTTTGGAATCCACCCCACCTGTGCACTTCCCTGTTTAAATCCACTACCTCGAAACCCTTCTCTCGACTAATTCGCCATATCTCTTTGTTTGCGTCGACAACCGCTCTTTGCAGGTTGACGTTGCGTACTGGTACTTCCGGTACTGTGCATACTACAATTTGCACCTGGGGGGACACGGTGCGCATGTCATCCACCCCCTTCGCCAAGGTCGTCGCTAGTCCTGACGATTCTTTTTTCAGGACGTCATTTAACCCTCCCGCAATTACAACGAGGTTACGATTGTTAGCTTTAGCTGCGAGTTGTTCACCCGCTTGACTCATTACTGTCCCCAGCGTTTGTCCTGGGAACGTCCCTATCGCAACTCTCTTGTCGCCTTTCACCCTTTCTTTGATTGCCGCTGCGCATCGGACTAAATTTGAGTCACCGGCGATGATGACCTGTTCAGACATTCCTTCTGAAACCTGCACCTGGCTGCTGACCAGGGTTACCAAATGGTGCGAGCCTCAAACCGCCAAATTGGACTCCGAGGTAGCCCAAACATAGCCAAATGCGAAAATTTGAAGTAGCCCAAAAATAGCCAAAATCAGCAAATGTATGCGTGAATACGTCGTATTGCGTAATATTTTTTTTGCTATTCAATCCACAATGATTGAGCGATGGCTGCAGAATCTAGACAAAAGTTTATTGTCACTTAATAACAAACAAATGAATGGAATCACAAAGAAATATAGAAGCATATTTACAAAAAGTAGAAATAGGTAGGGTTTACAAAAAAGTAGATATATACAAAAACTCGTGAAATAGAAAATACAACAAAAGAGATGAAAGTGGAGAAGCGAAATAACTTAAACATGATAACTTAAACACTTGATTTGGATGCCGAGGCACTGCTCGGCCCATACAAAACGGTGGAGTTAAAACGCGACAAAAATTCTCTTCCCGGTTTGAAATCTTTGCAGCAGCCAGCGTTCCTCCCCAGACCAAATTTTACATGGAGCAGCGCTTCTAAGGTCTCGTTAGACATCCTGTTTGGAATGTCAGTTTTAGTAAGCGAGACCTGGCTGAACACTCGTTCAACAGCAGCGTTTGACACTGGTAGTGACAGCAAAGAGAGCGCCAGCTTTGACATCAGTGGAAACATCGAGTTCCCGGCAACATTTTTTGCATTGTGTACGGTTACCCAGAATTCGGTTATGGAGTGGGTACCCTCTGCCAGATCGTCGACTCTGGTTTGGAGTAGGTGATACTCAGATTCCATTGTTGAAATACAACTTGGCTCTACAAAAGCATTGAATGAACGATGCACGAAATCGAAAGAGTATTTCTTAATGCTCTTTGGCTCGAGAAGCTTGAGGTCACTGAGAAGCTTCATGTTCGCGGGAAGCCGCTTGAGCACACTCCGTATAGCTGCTATCACAAACTTGCGGCACCTTTCCAACAAACAAACTTTTTCACCTTCGCTGAGTGAAGACTTCTCAAAACTGTCGAGAAAAATAACGCCCAAGCTGCATGCCCTCACATGCAATATGTGCTGCTCCCACTCCGCATTGTCAGGTTCTGCATAGCCAGGCATAACAACTCTTGTCATTAAAGCTTTAACAAAAGAAATCAATTCTTCATTGAGTCTCACAGGGTCCGGGGCCTCGCACTGAAAGAGCTTATTCATTCGCTCGAATTCATCGATTATTGGGCTTAGAAAACGGAGAAAAAGTAAATTTTGCTCATCAGCGTACATTTCGCTGAGTAATCTTGCTGCGTAGCAGCGTTCCTTACTTTTCATCGCATCAAAGTGAGATCGCAGGGCAGCCCACTGATTCAAGACTGATCTCAAGGCAGGCGCAATGCTAAGCCATCTCGTGGCACAAACGCCTATGAGCTTATTCGGGACATCGCCCGAAGTAATGGCGGCGTATGTTATACCCGTGCCACACGGGCATAGAAAATGACATTTGGTGGCGACGGCCTTCAGTTCCCGAATGACATTCGTTTCGCCAGCACTGCTACACGTCCAAAGCGAATGACATTTGACTTGATGATGTCTTTCACAGCACCTTCCAAGTGAGCATTGAGTGAATAGCAATAAAAAAAATTAAGAAGCACTTACAAGCTTCAAACACATCAGATAATCATCAAATGTAGAAATAAGCGTATTACGCTGTCCTAAGTTTTAGTTTCTTGCTTTGTTTTACAACGTTGCAGCCGACCGTAGCAACCTAAGCCAACACTAGTCAGATCCACAGCGTAAATAGACACTAAAATTGACAAGCGTTTCATTATCAATACTTTATTTTCTTTGTATAACGTTCAAAGCACCTTTTTAAGACTTTAGTGCAAATAGAAGACGGGAAATTTCATTTTTAGCTCAATATGATTTCTTTTATATACTTTCAGGTAAATCGCACTTCGCGAGCTGTGTCGTCGAGAGTAGGCATTTCTCAGTCAACTGAGTTCTGGCGAAGGCAGTTGGTGGCGAATGGCATTCGAATGGCATTCGGGTGAATGCCATTTTGTTCGCCCGTGTGGCACCGCGCGAATGGCAATAAATCTGAAGGCATTCGGGGGTAAATGCCATTTTTTCTGCCCGTGTGGCACGGGTATTACTCTATATTCTTGCTGCCTTTTCGGTGAATGGGCGAACCAGTAGAAGGTTTCGCGTACTATAGGTAGTCAATGTGCGTGGGAAGTACATCTATTGCCTCACTACAGGCAAGCTGTAAAGAATGGCACACACACTTCACAAGAACAAGCCGCGCATTTTCTGCCTTCATTTTTGTGTAAAGGCTGTTGTGCTTCCCACACATGACGCTCGCTCCATCTGTCCCGATACCCACACAACATTTGATGTTCAGTTTGCAAGCATCTAACAGCGCCTTCAACTCAGAAAATAGCCCTTCCGCGGATGCATCGGTCACTGGCACCAAGCCGAGAAAGGCTGTAAGAAAATCCCTTTTGCTGCGAGAAAAAAAGCGCGCCACGACGGCTAGCTCCTTCGTGCACGAGACGTCCGTGCTCTCATCCACAATCAATGAATATTGTGCAGCAGTCATGTCCTTCAAGAGCTCTTCTCTAAATGTTGGCCCCAGTACCTTTGTCACTAGCGCAGCGCACTTCGTTCTCCCCAAGGTGACGGCCGACGCCAACACCGAATCGCTGAAGCACCCACTGATCACGGGCGTCAAGTGGTCCGCCGTCAGGAAGCTTCCGTGAACAGCCAAATGAGCAGCCAAGCGCAGCTCTGCTACCTTGAGGTCGTCAGAAGAACTGGAACATGGCTCCCTGGGTCTTCTGTCCACAAACGATGCCAGAGGCCCCGCTGCTGGACCAGCGGAACGCTTCATGTTGTTTGCATGCTTGACCCTAGTGGAGTGCAGCTTTAGGTCTTGAACGTGGGGCCGCAATTCCACCTTGCATGCTCGGCAATAGGCCATATCGCCTGAATTGGATGGCGATAGCCAGTCTGCACGTTCAGAAACAAACAGAAAATAGTACTGTACTCACTGCACATATGCATATGCCTCAAATTTCAATTTTGCGAATGAATGGAACATTTTTTTTTTCTAAACAGGGCATTAAATTACATACAAAAGCATTCTGACACAATTTGTGCGAGGATAGAAAATATATTACCTTTGAAGTCCGGCTCCTTCTCCCATTCCTTTTTGTAGTTGCGCGCGTACTTGGCCCACTTGCCCATCCTGGAGCTCGTCTCTTCAAGCTCAGAGCCTCACACCCGAGACGCACTGCTAGCACTCGGCAAGAAGCGCGAATTTATACCTCCAAATACAATGATCGAAGAGTGATCAGACGTGTAACGACACGAAGAGCTGTAGTCAACAAGCCCCGCATTCAGTGGTGTATCCGAGGAAGCGGGGGGGGGGGGGGGGGGTCCGTTCGCCCCCTCAGAGCCTCAGACCCGAAGCGCAATGAAATTTAAGTGGACGAAATGACAAACTGCTACCGGCAGGGTCACTGAACCTGCAACCTTCGGATGGGTGCTCCCCACGTGTCATAGCTTTCACAATCATGTACCCCCTTCCCCGTTTCGGGAGACTTGAAAATATGCGCCAATGACTGACCAAGCGCCACCCCCCCCCCCCCCCCCCCCCTCGACGTTTTTTTTTTAAATCTGTTCTCCGCCTCATAATCCTGCAGCAGCGGTTCCTGCGAGTCTTGTGCACGATTTCTTAGTACTTGTACAGTGTGATGTCTGAGGGTCACATTCCGGGTTGTCGCAAATTGTTGGGGTATTTGAAGAACGTCTTTCCACTCCTGTCATAACACGTGCAATGTCAGACGGACATCCTCCGATTCAGTAAAAACTGTAAATGCTCGCGTATTCAACAAAGCATTTCATAAGAAGCACAGGTGTGCATTCTACTTAGAGGCACTTCCTCTGCTATCTTGGATTTTGGTCTCGGACTGAGCAAGAGGGCCCCCTCCACATCTTTCTTATTATCTTTCACTGTGTGGTGCGGGGAAGGGGAGGGGGTGCTTGCTCGGCATTTTACGGTAGTAGAAGTCAAGAAAGTCTAGAGAAAACGTAGCCATCAACACGGTTTCAAACTGAAGACACGTGAAGCCCTTTCTTGGGCTACGTACTCCAGGTGCAGGGATCATTCAACACATTGGAATGTTTTGATGGCGGGATACGCATGTAAGCCTTGGCGTTCTTTGTATAGAGCTTTTTAACAGAGAGAACCATCACCACCTTTCTTAGCTTTTGCACGGGAGTACAAAAGCTGACGTCGCGCCACGGTACTGCATTTTTGGGGGGTCACGCATGTTAACAGCCAAAAGGGGCTTATGGCGGCGGCCAGGGGGCCGTCGTTGACAAGGTGCATTAGAGTTCCTAGAGAGTTTTAGTGCCGGGGACCCCCAGACGCTCGCGTAGGCATGCTCCTGCTTTCCTTTGTATTCTCCGTGGTTGCAGCTGCTGGGGGTTCCCGGCGGCTGGAGGTACAAACGAACGCAAGAGCGTGCGTGCGTAAGCTGTTTGGGGTCCCAGATATTAAAATTATCTACAGTTTGTAGCTTTTTGGAATTTTTGCCTAGTCGAGAGCAATGTAGCCCAAAAATAGCCACATAGCCAAACAGAAAAATTCGACGCCAACTCGAACGAAAAGTAGCCCAATTTGGCTATTAATAGCCCAATCTGGTAACCCTGCTGCTGACTAGGTGACTAGCGTGAGTCACGGCTGCTGGTTTGCTCCCTCCCTCCCCCAAAACTACTTCCCGGTAGCTGGGCCCTGTGGCCAATGTATCTGCCTTTGTCATGCCTGTTTCCCTCATCTCTCCCGCACGGGGGGTCGTCGCCATAATGCTTCCGCCGTCACCCGCGTCTTCGTTCCCCTTCACGACCTTCGATAGGCCCTTCTCGGCTGCCCGGAGCCTTTCTTCCATGGCTGACGTTTTCTCTCGCTCCTTCGCCAATGCATTCTCCAGCTCTGCGATTTTCTCCATGAGCCCACTCTGGACCGCCATCATATTTTTCATTTTCTCCGCGAACTCGCACTGTCTACACTTGGCGTCATCTTCTGCTTTCTCCTCCGCACTAATTTCCACCTTCCACCCTACCCCGCACTCTGAACACTTTACGGTCTTTTTGACCATGGCTAGCTCAGTTTACCGATGCCCACGTGTTAGAAAACTGTACTAAAATACACTGGTCTAAGCCAAAAAGAACCACAATAATAAATAAATACGCTACACTTCACAGCACCTGCGCATGCACGTGGTCGGTCTACGCGCAGGCCTCAGCCACGTGGTGGCTGGAGACAAAAAGACACAGTACAAAATACTAAAAAAAAGAAAAAAAAAACGTACACCGTACTAGACCTAATCAAGCTTTACGCTAGCGCCTTACGTTCTCATAACGCTACATACAGAGGCAAGCTGGAAACATGCAAAAACACTTATCTGTAGCTGTCATTCCGGAGCTCTCCAAAAACACGTCCGACCTCTACCACCACTTCGCTACCACCTTTCAACGAAGAGCACAGCTGCGCCTCTAGTGGGAGCAATGAGCACTAGCGTACACACCAGCACAACGACAAAAGCCCCCCCCCCCCCCCCGGTGAGAGGAGCGAGCTTATAAATAAGTGTTCCTTTCTACATGATTGAAGGGCAAAATTTCATTTCCACGTTGTGTGTAGTACTTCTAAGCCCTAAATTTATTTAGTGATGATGGTGCCACTTGAGATCTAATATTAATTCTCTTATCTGTGATGGAGCAAAAAACATGCGCTGCTGCTGTTCGACGGGGGTAGCTGACGCGCATATGCGCAGTTAGTTTTCACCCGATGGTTGGCGGGGCCCTCGGCGTTGCGTTTTATTTCTAGCAGTTTTTTTTTTTGCTCGCTTCTGTAAGTAACTGCAGTTGCTGTAGGCAAAGTGTACTGCCGATGCCGCAGTAACTGTCACACCGGCGAAGGCATCGATTTCTGCAAGTCCCATGGCGATGGAAGGTAGATTCTTTTTGCCTATGCCCGCATGTTTGTTATTCTTTGTTCGCGATTTCACTCTCAGGCCTCGTTACCGCTGTCAGCGTTGTGTATTTGTGTACTACCTACATTTGCACTGATCCTGCACGTGTTCGAATGCTTGCGCGTCTCTCGACTTTTGTTCCACCGTGATTTCCTTGCGAGAAAAAAGAAAACCACATCCTTGCATCCTCAGCTTGACCGCACTATGTCGTAATGCAAGTGTTAAGCCGTGCCCGGCGAAAGCAGGCGTTGTAATTCGAAGCTGTCACTGAATCACCTCATGCTGATTTTTACGACTGCTTTGTAATGATAGTTCCTACAAACGAGACAAGCTTTTCTGGTCATTTTGCCTCTGAAAACGAAGGCGTGCCGTTTGCGAACTCGTGATTATGGTTCTAACACGAAGAGGAATAAAGTTTATCATAAGAAACCAGCAGGTTTAGGTGACCAGTCCTAGGCCTATAGATGAGGGTACGTGAAAGGCTTGCCTCGACGCCGCCTCACGGGCGTGCTGGGTCGCCCAGGTTTGGTCGTCGAGAGCGGGGCTCCACAGAGCCTCATGAAGCTTCGACGAAAGAGTCGTCGTGTTAGCGTGTCTGTACTGTGCAGGGCACTCCCACAGCATATGCGGAAGCGTTACCGGGTGAGTGCCGCAGCACCGGCAGTGGATAGATTTTTTTTCATTGAGTCATGATGGCTGGTTTGCTGTCAATGATATTGTTCCCCGTAATCCGTCGTGCATTGTTTTTACTGGTGCCAGCTGCCAAGGAATGCCTTTCGGTTCCATGTAACCCTTTTACGCACATGTACTATGTTCTGAAGGTCAATTTGGTGTCCTGCTGCGCGTATCGACGCGCTTAAAACAAGCGGGCGGCAGATGACGAGACACCCGTAGCCCTACGCGAGCCCCGGCTTCTTTCGTCCACTTCTGTTTTAAAGAGATAGCCATAGAATAAATAATCAGCCGAGGCAACCACGTAAGAGCATATTCACCCGGTACGGAACAAAAAAGGCGGCCATTTGTTTTTTTTTTTTCCTACCTAAAAAACAAAAAAAAATCTTTTTCGATTCCTGTTTACGCAACGTCATCTCTTGGGTGCCCTCGGCAGTTCGATGCGCCATCGCTGCTTATATTGCGTATCGTTGTCAAGGCTGCAGTTTCCCTTCTGTAAATTGGTTCTTTATTTTATGGGTGGCTAGTGAACACTTGTGCAGCGCGAGCAGTCAGTTTTCTCAATCGAGAAGCTCGCTAGCAGACGCTGCCTGCGTTGACGTTGTGAGGCGAGAGAAGGGGGGGGGGGGGCGGTGCGTAGCAGAGGAAAGAGGAGGGTGGGGCGGGCATGCCTGGAGGAGTGGGAGCGAGCGTAGGCTAGCAGACGCTGCCTGCGTCGACTTGCGTGGGGAGAGAGGGAGGGAGCAAGTAGGAAAGGAGGTGGACGGGGGGCGTATGCTCAATGTGCGTGTAAGCGCCGCGGGGAGGGATTCCTAATGGAGAAAGAGGGGAGAGCGAGGGCTGTCTAGCAGACAATGCGTGGGCGTTGTGGGGCGAGATAGCGTGGAGCGTAGGAGAGTAGAGGACGTGCATGCGCAGTAAGGGTGGTCACGCCGCACACCGGATTGAGCTGGACCCTAAGCAGATTCGCATCTAAAACAAAAAAAAAAAAAGCTGAGAGGCCACTTGAGCTTCTCCTTCGAGAGCTTTTCCGACGTGCATGCGCAGTAAGGGTGGTCACGCCGCACACCGGATTGAGCTGGAACCTAAGCAGATTCGCATCTAAAACAAAAAAAAAAAAAAAAAAAGCTGAGAGGCCACTTGAGCTTTTCCTTCGAGAGCTTTTCCGAAAAAAATGGCAGAACACCAATTTTTCGTTCGCAACTAAAGGTGCCGGTTCCGGCTTTCCTGCGAAAAACGAGCTCTTCAGCTCTGTCGCGTTAAAAAACTAAGATAAACAATGCCTGCGCTTCGAAACCTGTGACGGTTGGCGTCATCGCATTGCTTTTTTTTACCCTCAACCTATGTATGGTCTTTCTTTCACGTAATTAACTATTTTTCATATATTATATATCAGTGTCTTAAATCTTGCCGGCACATCGCTCGCGTGTAATTCTCAATTATCTCAAGTCACTGCATAGTGCTACCATTGACTTGACACTCCCCACATCGCTTATAAAGTTCGTATACCTTTTTTTTTCGTCACCTCGCTGGCATCGAGGCTACATGGCGCTACGTTCTCGTGAACTTGAACAAAGCTTACATCTTTTCGCAGTATATCACAAATTGATCCGGAAGCTTATCGACACATAATGAAATGCCCATTATAACTTAGCCCGGCTTGGGGATTCCGCGAGCTGCCATTCAATATTCGCACTGAGTGCTCGCTCGCGCTGTTCTCTGTTCGACGTTATTTATTCACGCGTTCGATTAAAGCCGCGATGTACGGCTCTGAGCAATACGGGCTTTACGTTACTTCAAACGCCACCACTTGTAGCTCGCACCGAAAGCCCTTGGTCATACCGTGGCCACCCTGGGTTTTCCTTCCCACGCTTGCACTCTTCCATTTCAGCGCCTGTCGGCATGCCCTCAAGTAGATCGACGTCGTTCGTTACGCACGTGCAACTCTCAGTGTCGTCATGCAATAACTCGGTGACATGGAGCATGCGTGGGGGCAGCGAGTCAAGCGGCCGGTCGACGAGCCCCGGGCCAATGGGCTGGCGAGGCGAGCACCCGGGGGCCGGCCCGGGTTCCGCCTCCGGGCCGACAAAAAGGGTCGCGCTTTCGAGTGCGCGCAGTAGCCTGCTTCCTCGAAGGGCCGCGGCGCAGCCGAGTTGAAACTCCGCGCCGAGACGCCGCGCCGGACCTTCGGACAGTCCAGCCGGTGAGGTTGACCATTTCTGTAGCTGTCTATGCATTCGTGTCGGTGTTTTTGTACAGTGCGCGTCAAAATTTTACAAGGCACTAGCTGTCGGAAAACCTTAAGTTAAATCAACCGCGTCAAGCGATCGCTTGTGTACGTGTAATGCCCTAACATGTACCCTGACAATGTTTCATTCCCTCCTTTTAATCTCTTCCCTTAGTAAAGGGTAGCAAACCGGTAGCGTGTCTGGTTCACCTCCCTGCATTTTATCCTTTCCATCTTTCTACTCGAAATTTCCTGAAATTTCGGACTATTCGCCCCGCCGCGGTGGTCTAGTGGCTAAGGTACTCGGCTGCTGACCCGCAGGTCGCGGGTTCGATTCCCGGCTGCGGCGGCTGCATTTCCGATGGAGGCGGAAATGTTGTAGGCCCGTGTGCTCAGATTTGGGTGCACGTTAAAGAACCCCAGGTGGTCGAAATTTCCGGAGCCCTCCACTACGGCGTCTCTCATAATCATATGGTGGTTTTGGGACGTTAAACCCCACATATCAATCAATTTCGGACTTTTCGGCCGAACAGCACAGGTACATGTTATTAGCACGCCGGGAATATCAGTTCGAGGCTGTCTGCCGAAGCAGCGTCTCGTGGTTCCCGAAAGTTTGACTCTTACTGCACTATCGGTGTCAAATTAAACCCGAACACTGGCAAGCCTTGGTGATGGTAAAGTGCGTGCCTTCCACTTATCACCATGAACAGGCACACACTTATGCGCAGAGATGCCGAACAGAAGGCGCGCGCCTGTCAACGGTGATAATTGGGCGGCACGCACTATACTATCGCGAGGGCTTGGCCGCTGTTCGGGTTTCATTTGACGCCGGATAGTATATACTAGCACTTTTACGTGCAAATGCGTACTCTCCCTCTTTTCCGATTCATCAACCGCGTTCAGTCACGAACCGCAGCAGTCGGAAGCTGCGAAGAACGATGTCGTGGGTTTCATTTCAATTTCATTTCACTTTATTTTCAATTCCAACATGATAGATCAAAAAACTGTTTGGACCCATAGCCGAAGGCTAGAATAGGGTCCAATAATGCGATACAAAATGGCACAGTTTCAAAGTGATAGCACAAGGCAACAATGGTACATGTAGCAAAACAATAGAACAAGACATTGAACCAGGATACAAGATGTTAAACATTGCGGATATAGTAAAGAAGGTGAGCATTGTACAGACATATAAATTCAGATACTCCAACTTGGGTAAGATAACAGGAACATGTAATTTTTATACACATACAAAAGAAAGGCAATGAGTAATAACAACTACTCAGTAAACTTTCACTGGACGTAGAGATACTTATATACAAGAATTGAACGGTTTGACACCCGGCGGCCATTTTCATAGGACAGAGTGCAGATGTACATGACGTTGCAATTTCAGGCGCGCTCTACAGAATGCCATGTATAAAATCTATTCCGGGGCATTCTACTATACGGCGTGTCTGATAGAGACGCCATAGTAGAATGCCCCGGAATGGTCAGTGGCGTAGCCCAGGGGTCACACACCAAGCCCGGGCACCCCCCCTCCCCCCTAGATTATTAAAGCCATGCATACAAAGTGAAATAGGAACATTTCAAGGGGTTGTCCCCCCCTCCCCTGATAATACGAAAGTGCCCCCGATATATATATATTATATATATATATATATATATATATATATATATATATATATATATATATATATATATAATATATATATATATATATATATATATATATATATATATATATCGTAAAGTACCGGTGCATCCTTGATTGTACAGAGGATTCATTTGGTAAGGGAAGCCATGGCATCATCGTATTTGAGTGTAATGCGAAGAAAACCCATGTACATTGAATTTAGGAACTGTGTCAGTTTCTCCACCTAATAGTAAGGCGCCAATCGGAAATTCGAAGAGGTACTCTGAAACGTCTGACGTAGTAAGTCACCGTTGCCACGTATAACCGTGAGAGTTTTGGTCAATTACCACATATTTACAAAGAGTGGAATCATACATAAGCTAGAAGAGAATAGTTATTGAGGTCAATGAAAGGTCACAACTACTAACTACGTAATGCAGCATGTCATAGCTGAGGGTGGTTGTCCAGTATGCGGCAGGCACTTCCGAAGGCTTCCACTAGATCACTAAACATCGACGTTGAATTGTCGTCCCCTGTCAGAAAAGAGTTTGTCTTGCATCTGCAAAGAATAATTACAAACTAGCAGTTCTCTTCATGAACTTAGTTGTCCAAGCGGAAGTTAATGGCTGCTATACATTGTACCATATCGTGTGATAAGCGCTTAGAGGGCTAGTGAGCTAAGTTCAGAAATATAGTGAAGATTCAAAGATATTTCTCTTCAGCTCTAGCAATTCTACTCCGACCAGCCATGTGCTTTAAAAGGTTGGTGCTTTGATATGAATGTAACATACACATACATATAATTATATTGGATTGTGACTTCTATCATTTATATTAGTAATGTTTAAAAACCCATCAGGCGAATCACACCACATCGTATCACATCACTCAATGAAAGAGGAGAGTTGCGATAAGAAATTTTGTCTGGTTGTTTTACCAGAATTTTCGAGGAAGGTCTTTTGCAAGGGGCGGCTTTCAACTCTACCTCAGTAAAGTACCATGTGCTCTAAATCGTTAACCACTTTTTTCTAAACACATTTTTTTCAGCAGGAAAGTTGGTCATAGCGATCGCCCTCAGCGCTGTTATAAAAGCTCAAAATTAGACATCCTTTTACTACAAGTCTCGAATACGTTAAAGTTACGTTACTCTTATTGGACATGAACGAACGGGGCTTTTGGAGGCTTCGAGCTCCGCGGGCACAGACACGATTTGCGAGAAAATAAAAGCGATGTATTTCATGCACCAATCAAGCCCGCTGCGAAATGGAAATCACCTCTGGAATCGGGTTATACGTACCTAACCATGAATCATGCATGTAGCAGGGCTGTTAGTTTCAGCCTGCACTTCCTGTATAAACTTAAGCAAAGCTGCACCTCGGTAGCATGCGAAAATCGTCACATATAAAGACGCAAAACTGTTCGGATATATATATACATACATACATATATATATATATATATATATATATATATATATATATATATATATATATATATATATATATATATATATATATATATATATATATATATATATATATCGCGCGATCTAACAAACAATACTGCAAGGACAGTATAGAAGTTATTAGATCTAATTGTAATAGAAATGTGAAGAAAGAAAAGTGCGTGAAAAAATACCATACAGCGGGCAGAAACCGACCCTGTGACCTTCGAATAACGCTCAGTTGGTTATTGCGTTATTTGAAGGTCGCAGGTTTGGCTCCTGCTCACGGCAAGTTATATTTTCACCCACTTTTCTTTCTTGACATTTACATTACAATTCGGTCTAATAACTTCCCCTATACTTTCCTTGGCATTATATATATATATATATATATATATATATATATATATATATATATATATATATATATATATATATATATATATATATATAATAAGGGAAAGAAGTGTATACCTAAGGGCTCGTTTTTCCGGGTTTTAACACAATATTAATGAGATCTAACGGACAGTAATGCCAAGGAATGTACAGGGGAAGTTATTAGAACATATGGAATGTAAATAAGAAGAAAGAAAAGTGGATGAAAAAATAACCAGCCGTGGGCAGGAATCGAACCTACGACCTTCGAATAACGCGTTCGATGCTCTAACCACTGAGCTACCACAGCGGCCTTCCCTCCATCCACTTTTTTGGGTTTATATGTGAATTTAGAAGTAGGAGTGACAGTCAGCGCCATCTATAAGCCAAACGACGAGTGTGAAAACACTCTTATGCGCATGTTTGGCGTCACGTAGCACGTGAACTTATTATGAGCGGGTAGCTGATTAATTGTCCCTCTTATACAACCTGAACACACCAAATCTGCCATTACGAGACCCTCGTTCAATGAAATGAGATCTAACAGACAGCTCAGTGGTTAGAGCATCGAACGCGTTATTCGAAGGTCGTAGGTTCGATTCCTGCTCACGGCTGGTTATTTTTTCATCCACTTTTCTTTCTTCTTATTTACATTCCATTGGTTCTAATAACTTCCCCTGTACATTCCTTGGCATTACTGTCTGTTATATATATATATATATATATTGTATATGCAGAGAAGCTTTATGCATATTTAATGCACGCACTCAGTTCAGTGTACATACGAAGATCATAATGTGCAAGTTAGTTTAGGTTAGTGTCGCACCAATAGTGGCGCCGCTGAACAGTTGCTAATTTGTCGACATTTAGCGGATGTGTAAATTTTCTCACGTTACTGAATTTCAGAGCGTGAGGAACGAATTGGAAACAGAAAAGCGAAGTAAAGGCAAGATGGCCTTTCAGACGCACGTCTATTTGTGACCCTGTGAAAAATAGGTTTGGGAAAAAAGAAAAAAAATGGTGGCACTTCATTTACAAAACAACAACAAGAAGAACAATATTAATAACACTGATGACCTTACGCCAGTTCTCGTTGCCGGAGCGAGTACCAACAGACCACCGTCAGTTCATTGTCGGCCGATTATGTATTTGAATTGAATTGAATTGAATTGAAGTTTATTTCGTCCTGAAATTCTTACAGGATCGGGAGCAGAGGCTATAGTCCTGACATGGGGCCTCTGCTCCTAAATACAGTTTGGCACGCAGGCCGCTCGATCTGTCGCATTTTTTTTCATAAACAAATATATAACACAACAAGTAACACACAGAAATAAATAAATAACACAATAAATAAACAATAACACAACAAAATTTGCATGTTTATTACCGAGTATGCGAATGCCGGTTGCACTAATCGGAGGAGTATATATGGTTTGTGCATGTGCCGTCTCCTGACGGCAAGAATGAACTGTCTTTAGTTCTCATTGCTCCTTGCCATTATCTGTACGGATTCGTATCCGC